ACTTTTAAAGCTACAACCACCAAACTGGGCCAGACCTTCAGACTGGTCTGACTCGGGTTGCTATATCTTTTCCAACTGATCCGGTTTTCGTTAACCAGACTTATCAAAGCCACCTAAAATCCCATAGACGTTCATTGAAACTTTTATACAATAAGACGTATGGTGTATTTAAGCGGTCTATTGCTATACCAAAGCTTAACAACTCCCTACTGAAAAAACAGCTAAAACCAGCCTAAGCTGATTGACTGCTTTGGCTGGTCTCCCAAGCTGGTTTTAAAGTGGTTTTGGCCACTTTTTTAGCAGGCCAGGCTGGTCTTAGCTGGTTTTTAGCTGGTTTTTTTTACTGAATCAACTGGTTTTAGCTGGATTAGTATAGAAACATGCTAACAACATGCTAGTAACTTGTTAATCATGCTATAAACAGGCTAACAAAATGCTAGTAACTTGCTAATCATGTTAACAACATGCTAGTAACATGCTAATCATACTAGAAACATGCTAGTAACTTGCTAATTATGTTTAAAAAAGGCTAACACCATGCTAGTAACGTGTTAATCATGCTAGAAACATGCTAGCAATTTGCTAAACATGCTAGAAACATGCTAGCATCATGCTAGTAACATGCTAATCATGCTAGAATCATGCTAGCAACATGCTAATAACTTGCTAATAATGTTAGAAACATGCTAACAAAATGCTAGTAACTTGCTAATCATGCTAGAAACATGCTAGTAACTTGCTAATCATGCTAGAAAAATGCTAACAAAATGCTAGTAACTTGCTAGTCATGTTAGAAGCATATTAACAACTTGCTAAACATGTTAGAAACATGCTAGAATCATGCTAGTAACATGCTAGTAAACTTGCTAATCATGCTAACAAAATGCTAACACCATGCTAGTAACATGCTAATCATGCTAGAAACATGCTAGCAATTGGTTAAACATGCTAGAAACATGCTAGCAACATGCTAGTAACTGGTTAATCATGTTAAAAACATGTTTGTAACATGTTAATCATGCTAGAATCATGCTAGTAACATGTTAATCATGATAGAATCATGCCAGTAACATGCTAATCATGCTAGCAACATGATATTACCTTGCTAATCATGGTAACAAAATGCTAGTAACTTGATAATCATGCTAGAATCATGCTAATAAAATGCTAGAAACATGCTAGCATCATGTTAGTAACATGTTAATCATGATAGAATCATGCTAATAACATGCTAATCATGTTAGCAACATGCAAGTGGCTTGCCAATAATGCTAACAAAATGTTAACATGCTAGTACCTTGCTAATCATGCTAACAACATGCTAGTAACATACTAATCATGCTAGAAACATGCTAGTTACTTACTAATCATGTTAACAAAATGATAACACCATGCTAGTAACATGCTAATCATGCTATAATCATGTTAGCAACATGTTAGTAACTTGCTAATAATGCTAACAACACGCTAGTAACATGTTAATCATGCTAGAAACATGCTAGTAACTTGCTAATCATGTTAGCAACATGTTAACACCATGATAGTAACATGCTAATCATGCTATAATCATGTTAACAACATGTTAGTAACTTGCTAATAATGCTAACAACACGCTACTAACATGTTAATCATGTTAGAAATATGCTAGTAACTTCTAGTAACTTGCTAATCATGTTAGCAACATGTTAACACCATGATAGTAACATGCTAATCATGCTATAATCATGTTAACAACATGTTAGTAACTTGCTAATAATGCTAACAACACGCTACTAACATGTTAATCATGTTAGAAATATGCTAGTAACTTGTTAATCATGTTAGTAACATGCTAATTGTGCTAGCAACATGCTAATCATGTTAAAAACATGTTAGCAACATGCTAGTCATGCTAGAAACAGCCTAGCAACCACCCCAGGTACCCTAGCAATATGTTTTATACCTTATATTTTAAACATCTACCTGTTTTTCTGATAGACTGTATTGCCTTGAAAACATTTTTAACATTTTAACTTTCAATCTACTTCAAACTGAAAACTCTCAGACTGCAAGCTTTTCAAACTTTTTCAAACTTTCTGGCTAGGCTTTTTCAAGCCAACTTAAAGTTTTCAATCTAGTTATATACTATTTTATTATCTATTAAAGTATTAATTTGAAGCTTTCATTTTTAGATTTGTAACATTTTTAGTATTTTTGTGTGCTTTTGTCATTTTTATGAGTTTTTGTTCCTTTAAATATATCTATATAGCTTTATTTTTATTTGAGTAGTACCGTATTGGCCCGAATATAAGACGACCCTGATTATAAGACGAACCCCCCTTTTTACAGATGTACCTTTTGGAAAAAGGCTTTTTAAAAACCAAATCTTGTTTTTTCTCAGTAAAACACATTTTGTCTTCAATTATTTTCATATTGCATATTTTTCCTATTTTAATTTTTGTTTTGAAAGTATGGTAAAAACTGGTAAAATGTACCAACAATCACATTTAAAAAATATACACTTTTTGATATACCATTAAAAAAAAAAAAAAACGGTAGTCCATCTGAATTAGGACATTTAGGCTATCCATCTAATAGTAGCCTACCAAAATCTTATTAACAGTAGAAGTTAAATTTTACTGTAGTCTTCAAATCTGGGTATTGTCTTACGTTTTAAAATCACAAAGGGAGTTTGGTGCCATCATGCTAACGTGACAGTCACGACTCATGCAGCTGTAAGGTTTTCTTTTCTTTTGTTTTTAGTCGCGATCTTTACAACACACATTACATTACGTATTTCATGGCACACTCGTTTTATGCGTATTTGGCGCCACCTATTGTTGTGGGTGTATTATTGACATGCATGTCAAAGGACCCTGAATATAAGACGACCGCGTTTTTTCAGATGTATTTCCAAGAAAAAAATATCGTCTTATATTCGGGACAATACGGTAATTAGTTAAACTAATTTCAGTTAGTTACCATGGCAAAGTTAAACTTATTTATATTATTTGCACTTTTTCCAATTACCGAAAACAAGTTTTAATAGTTTTAATAGTAGTTAACAATAACAACAATAGATTTTATTCGAGTAATTAGAGGCTCTTAGCGGTTTGTTTCAGTATCAACTCTAAATGATCAATTCAGGGGCCAAATGCACTGCAAATCAAATCAAACAATCTCAGCCATTTATGAGGAGCAAACAGGTATAATGTTTATTGTAAATATTCAACACAGCTGAGACATTATGTTTACCATCAGTTTGGCCCCTATGGGATCATTACGAGAAACTATACAGACTTTACTTGAAATGACCCAGAGTAATTGAAACCTCAGACAATAAAGACTTGCATTTATTTACCAAACATCTCAAGAGTGTCTGGGAATGTTTACTGAGAGGACTGCTGTTAACCCAGGAGGGTTACGTGTCCTTCACCTAATATGAAAAGACAAATGCCATTTCTCACAAACACACTTCTGAAGTACTTGTTCCCTGTTTGAGTTTCGGGTGAGCTGGCCACTTACAGTATCCCACTCTAATGTGGTCTTACATCCATGGAAAAAAACACTGTTTAAGGTAACCTTTTTTTGAAGTAGTACAAAAGAAAAAAAAAAGATGGAAAACATTTTTTTGAGAAAATACTATTTCAGTCTTTCTACTTAAGTTTGCTCAACGTGTTTATTTACCTTTTCTTTCACAAATAATCACAGTTACAGGAACTCTTGTTTAAAATAAGTTTGCAGGCCAGCTGCTAATTGAGCTTAAAGAAATGTAATTCAATAAAATGAAGGAGTATAGTTTGAAATAACAATGTTTCAATCTGGATAGAGAGAAAGAAGTGTGACTGAAGTGAGTATACAAAATAAGAGAGACAGTGATGAAGACAGAAATTGTAGAAAAGGAAACATCTGTTCCAGAGTTGGAGGATGTGGGCAAAGCTGCTGAAATGCTTGAATCATTGCCAGGAAAATGGCAGCTTTTGTCATTGTGAGCATTTTTGATCCTTTAATGTCAAATCAATCGAATCCTGAGCAATCAAACTGATTCTGATCTGAGTGGTGGTCTGTCTGAGTAACTCTTTATTGTCCTGTGTGGTGCTTAACTGTGTTTGAGTGTTTTAATTGAACTAGCTGGATGTTGTGACAGCACATTTTATTTTATTCTGCTGTGGTTGACAGATATTTGTAACCTGCTTGTTCGGTTGTTAAAACTAAAAGATTGCACATACGCCTTCCTTCCTCTAAACACAGGTGCGCCAAACAGATCGTTTCAAAGACAAGATCACACTAATTGTATTGACAATGTAATATTAATTATAAAATGTCAATCTTGTGTAATATTACAATCTAAACGCATAAATGAAAGTCTGATTATAGCATGTTTAAAAATAACACGCTAATTTGAATTTGGATAAAAAGCTACACACAATCATATACAATCATCCACTTTAATTGTGCATATAGACACATTCTTAATCATTACAATTAATAGTTCATCACAGTTAGTACAAAAATATTTTGGAGAAGGTGGATTACAGTGATCAGATTCATACAGTCTTTTACAAGATGTTGCAACTGACGAATCCAATTTAAAGCAGGGCTAAAACACAACAAAGAGTCTGATGGTGTGGTTTCGTTGGGGTTTGGAGGACCCTCGGTACAGTATACAGTGGAAATTTTCCTTTAAATCCCAGTTTTTATTATTATTTTTTTAAAAAAACGTGATTTGTTGTGGCATCTTCTTGTTGAGTTGTTCTTGTGTCTTCTATTTTCAAGAATTTTGGAAAACTTTGGTCTTCATGTGACTGGCTATATATCGTTGCTCCTCTTGGTCATCTAAACATTCTCCAGCCAGTTTAGGATCTACTGTGGATGAAGCCCAGGGTGGCTGCTGGGATCAGAAGGCACAGTGCGGTGGGCAGCGGATCCAATCCTGCAGCACTGGCCACAGGCTTTTGAGGCTTTTTAGACGCAGCAGCTGAAGTGGGGATAGATGGTTTGTCTGAAGTTTTGTCCTACACCAACATGAAAAAAAGTCAGAATAAATAAGCAGATTATTTTATATTACTGTATTATGTGCACTTTTAAAAGTAGAAAAGTGCAGTTGGCTGCCGATTAATTTCTGCCTGATCAGACTGTTATAAATAATTTTTTTTCTGCTGTAACCAAGTTTAGTCAGGCTGATACAGCCATATCTATCTATCTATCTATCTATCTATCTAAAAAAAAAAAAGAAAAAGCGGGTAACCTAAAGTGGGCGTTCTGGGGTAACATCAAATTTAATTGGCTCTAATTTAATTAGAGCCAGTTAATTTTGATGTTACCACAAAACGCCCACTTTAGGTTACCCGCTTTTTTTTAAAAACAGTATATGTCAATTTAAAGTTTATTTTGAGAAGCTGCTTTAAAATGCACTTTGTTGGTATTATTACTATTTAAATAAATTACATTTACATATTGTAATTTTAATTATATTATAATTAACTTAGACTCTGTCAAGTAGAGAAGACAAAATCCACCATGCTTCTGCTTCTACATGGTATAAAGAGAACTGATGACACACCTTTCTTGTATAATCAACATTTTGCATGTACACGCAACTAATAATTAACAAATGTACCAAATTTGATTAAATATGAATTAACAAAAATTATCAAAGAATTAATAAGATAGGAAATTCTACAAAAACAAAAATCCGTAAGGCAAGAGTGAAAGAAATCACAGTGCCTACCTCCTGAGATGAAAAAGGTAAGGTTATAATCAGTAACCCGATGCACAATGCCAGTATTTTATTCATGATTATGCCTTCTTCTTCTTCTTCTTCAAGAGATGTTTTCTGTGAGGCAGAGAGTCTGTGCTCAGTGATGCGGGAGGGGAGTTTTATTCTCACAGTGACTGATGTGTGACGTGTTTAAACACCTGCTCATTGGTTTAAGAGGAGGATCACATCCTCTATCAGTACAGTGCCTTCATGTCTTAAAGCAGTTTTTAAAATGTCAAATACACTAAATTCTCTAATAAATTTCAATCTAGGATACCTGCATTTTCTACTCTACATCCTATTACCTTACTAAAACAATTACAAAACTCTCTTTTGCTTTGTTCACGTTGTTGTTGGCATGAGAAAACATATGGAGAATCCTGATTATTCTAAGTGTATTTGTACTCATCTAATTCTTCAATAAAACACATGGGGAAAAACTGATTATATATCTTAGGAGAAAACATTAATACTGATTTGAATGAAAAAAATGGCACAAACATACAATCATCTATTTTAATTGTGCATACAGACACATTCTGAGATGTAGTACATTGATCACATTTATAGTAAAATTATAAATTTGAAGTACCAATAATGTCATTACAGAAATGGAAATTGGGCTCAAATTTAAATGTGATTACTGATTTAAGTAATGGAGTTTTTTTAACCTGCTTAATCTCAATCATATAATGAGCATAGGAGAATCAAACTCTTCCAAGAGAATTTGCCATAGGTGAGCTCTATCTAAAACAGTGACTTTGGAGCAAAACAAAAGAGACAAAGAGCTCTGTAGCAGGACCCTGAGTTGCAGGTGTCTTTCAAGCTCTCTAAAACAGGTGTAACCAAACAAATCCCTCTTGGAGAAATTCTCCAAACTTTATTCATTCTCATTACTTAAAATCCATTACAAAAATGTGAGCTGTGGCATCTTCTGTCTTCAAGATTTGTGGAAAAGTTTGCTCTTTGGGTGAATGGCTGTCCATTTCGCCACTGTCTCTGTCTTGGTCATCTATGGCGAACGCTCTCCATCCATCACTAGGATCTACTGTGGATGAAGCCCAGGGTGGCTGCAGGAATCAGCAGGTACAGTGTGGTGGGCACAGGACCCAATCCTACAGCGCTGGAATTTGTGGAGGTACTAGAGGATGGTGAGCTACTGCCTTCTGACTTCTGAGCATCGCTATTCTACACCAAACAAGAAGGCAAAGAAAAGTCATGTTAGAGAGTGATTTCATAATACTGGATCTACATGTAGATGCACTTTGCTACCATATGTTATTAATTATACTTACTATTTAAAACACGAACGCAACAAATAAGTGCTATAAATCTATAAATGAAAAAATCATAGTGCCTACCTGAGTTGAAAATGGTATGGTGATGATCAGCACCGCAAAACACAGAATCCAGATTTGATTCATTTTTATGCCTGTGTTGTCTTCTTCCAGAGAAGTTTCCTGCTGGACCAAGTGTCAGTGCTCACTGCTCAATGATGGGGCAGTCGTGGGCCTTTTAATCCCAAAGTGACGTCAAAAACACCCGCCCACCGAGGGTAATGATAAACTGTTCATGTTTTCAACTGCTATTACAGGTTTTCTTGCTATAACTTAGTGAAATAATATATTAAGTTATGTGCTAAAGTTAGTCTTAACCATAACATCAGTACAGTATACGACCGCTTTCCGTTAAGGTATCGCAAAGTAGGCTACATCGACAAGGTACTGAAAACAACAACACCTTTTTATATTGTTTTTTAAATTTTATATTGTTTTCAAGATGAGCATTTATTGGACTGAAGAAACTTATTTAAAATGTATGTATCAAATATGATACAACAGGCTTTTGGGGAACGTTTATTTGTACATCTTTCAATCCTCTTTGCATTACATTACATGCTTAGCCCCCACAATTAAAACTAAAAGCTTTGTTAATAAAACTAAGCATTTTAAAGATTTTTAGAAAAATATTTTGTCTAAACCTGCCTTCGAAGTCCTTATTAGTGACCCCACAGCGCCCTCTTGCGTTTCAAATCCCCATTCACATCATGAAAAAAGCGTTTTCGTTTATGTGGAGGGTTTGTTTTTCTCAGCTCCCGTAAATGTGCGTTGCTTCTATGGTTCCGGTTGACACAGAGTTCCGCCCATGCGGAGGAGGAGGTCACATCCCACAACAAACTCTCATCCTGGTCGCAAACTCTCCTGTCAGAGTCCCTCATGCTGCTGGTTCGGCGTTCGGCGGTAAGGTTCGGCGGTGTGGCTCGATGGGGACTGCGCTGTCTGTGCTCCGGAGACGCAGCGGGCCGGTACCAGGACACTGTGCTGCTGCCCCGCACTGACTTCCCCATGAGAGTGAACGGGCCGAACCTACTGGAGCGAGAGATCCAGATCCAGCAGGTACAAGGGACAGATCCAGATACAAAAGCTGTCGTTACTGAAGGATCTGATCTAAGTGGTTCTGTTCTGTTACTTCATAAATCATAGTGAATGATTAAGGTGATATTATACTACAACACTTCTATAACAGCCACACAGCTCGAGATCACGGATGAGGTTGTCTTTTGTTGGAGGTTGGGATTTTCTTTTGTTGGAGTTTGAACTTTTGTGTGTTGATCTACAGAAATGTGGTTTTGATCAGCTGTACACATGGCAGAGAGAGAAAAAAGCTAAAAAGGAGTACTGCCTTCATGATGGACCACCGTATGCCAATGGGGACCCGCATGTTGGGCACGCTCTCAATAAGGTACATTCTGTCAGATCATATGCACACAAGCAATGGCCATATGCAGGGAATTAGAAATACCTAGGTCCAAAAGCTGAGCTTGTTTGGGAGGTTCGGGGGCCATTTGAAAATTTTTGAATCTTTTGATCTATTTATGTGTACAGTACACATTGCATAATATCTTTGCAGCATTCAAGTACAGTTATTATTAGGAAATTATTACACCTCAGAAAAAATATAGAGGTCTGGTGGGTACAGCCTTGACACAAGTAGATGTTCCTGGATCCACATCCTTTATTTTTGCTTCAAAGACATCTTATCATACAGTTATATACCTAAACCTACAGGAATGGAAATATACTCACATGAACTCCATAATCTGCATCTTCATTTGATCTCTCTTGCAGATCCTCAAAGACATCCGGAACCGTTTCGAGGTGCTGAGAGGCAGACAGGTGCACTATGTGCCCGGTTGGGACTGCCATGGGCTGCCCATTGAGCTCAAAGCACTTGGAGACCTGGGAACCAATGAGCTGACTCCTCTACAAATCAGACAGAAAGGTCAGGAGGTCACATATAATGAATGCTCTGGTCAAATAAATCAGTTGTCTACAGTTGATCTTAGAAGCTTGAAATAACCTGTCAGTTAAGTAATGTTGCTAAGATATGTTTCTTCTGGTGAATCAAAAACTGCCTGTGTGTCTCTCCGTTCAGCGCGGGAGTTTGCAGAGAGGGCCATATCCCGGCAGCGTGCTGCATTCCAGCGCTGGGGTGTGATGGCAAACTGGGAGAATTGTTATTACACCTTTGATGGGAAATATGAAGTGGCCCAACTGAAAGTCTTCCAAGAGATGCATAACAAGGTGGGAGAAGTTTTTCCTGTACAACACAGCTTGAAATGTTTGATTTCATGCCATATGTGAGTATTTAAAGAGTAGTTTGCCAATAAATTAATATTCTGCAATGATATACACTACTGTTTACACTACTATAAAAGTTTAGAGGAAAAAATTTAATAATTTATTTGATTGAAAATACAGAAAGTATTGTGAAATATGATTACAATTTATAATGTAGGTTTTTTTTTACAATTAAAATTATTATTTTTTAAAAATATTTGAATATGTTTTAAAATAAAGCAATAAGCCCCAAGAAGCCATAGTTTACAGTGAATTTATAACAGCTAAGGGGCGTTGTTAGGCATGACGCGAAGAAGAGTTCCTCAGAATCAGTTGTGGTTGCAACAAAGTGGTTGCCAAGCAACAGACAAACGTAAACAAAGTTATTTGTTTAGTAATTTACAACAGCTTCGAACGTGGTTCAGCCAATCAGAATCAAGGACCGGAACTATCCGTTTTATAATATATATTCCATTACGACAGTCTTTAGTGTCACATGATCCTTCAGATATCATACAATGGTTTGTTGGAAACAGCTGTGTTACTTTGGCTTTGTCAAAGCTGTGATACTTTTTGTCAGTATTCTTTGAATAAATTAAAATATTTCTGTTTGAAATAGAAATATTTTCTAACATTACAGATGTCTTTAATATGACTTTTGATTAATTTAATGCGTCCTTGCTGAAAAAAAGAATGAATGTCTTAAAAAAATTGGGTCAAACTTTGTTTTACTTTATTTTAAAAACTTTATAAACTTTATTTTGAGGTCCAATTTTTGCTATTAACAAACGATTAACTATGACTTTTGCCTCAATAAACTCCTAACTGGCTGCTTGTTAATAGTTAGTACGGTAGTTGTTAAGTTTAGGTATTGGGTAGGATTAGAGATGTAAAATAAGGTCATGCAGAATATGTGCTTTATAAGTACTAATAAACAGCCAATATGTCAATAATAGGCATGCTAAAAAGCAGCTAATTAATAGTGAGAATTGCTCCCTATACTAAAGTATTACCAAAAATTGCTGACCCCAGATTTTAAAGTAGTAGTTTATGCACCCTCATATCATTGAAAGTTTCTCACTTTACCCCTCTTTTTCTATCTTTGTGTACAGGGTTTAATTTATCAGGACTATAAGCCTGTTTTCTGGTCACCATCATCCAGGTGAGAGAAGCTCAGTGTTTGCAGTCTCACATAAAGCCTTTAATAAAGCATAACAGACAGGAAGCTTTGAATTTGAGGATTTAGAATGTTGTACAGATTTCTGCTATATTCTCTGTCTCTGTGAAGGACGGCACTTGCAGAAGCTGAGCTGGAGTATAATCCAGAACATGTGAGCCGTGCTCTGTACATCACTTTCCCCCTGCTCACCCTGCCAGCCAAACTCGCTGCCAAAGCAGGTGTGTGTATGCTGTCTGTCCCGGTGCCACACACTCTTTATACAGGCCACATAATTATTTTGCTGTGTCTGATGCCAGTATTTTTGTCTGTGCTTTAGAAAGTTGGGGTCATGTGTCTGCTCTGATATGGACGACTCAGCCATGGACTATTCCAGCCAATCAAGCGGTTTGTTACATGCCCAAAGTACAGTAAGTCACACACCTATGCATCTGTTGGTGGAATGCACATGATATGATTTAATGGAGACATTCGTGATCACATGTCTTTCCTCTTCTTCAGGTACTCTGTAGTGAAGCGAGCTGATAATGCGCAGCTCCTCCTAGTGGCCTCAGAGCGCATCAACAGCCTCGCCTCTATGCTGAAGACAAATCTGGAAAGTTTGGCCACATTCGCAGGTAGATCCAGTGTTTGTTTTTGGCCTGAATCACTTCATATGATGCCTTTTAAACTAACCTAAGCATCTCTCTGTTTCTCTTTCACTCATCTCCAGGGTCAGACCTCGAAGGTGGAGTCTGTCAGCATCCCACAATTCCTGCAAAACAAGTGCCTTTGTTGCCGGCTAATCATGTGACCATGACTAAGGGAACGGGATTGGTCCACACAGCTCCTGCCCACGGCATGGAGGACTACGGTGTTGCTACACTCTTTAATCTGCCAGTAGTATGTCACCCACATCTGTATATGCTGAAAACATAAAAATATTGGGTTGTTGTCGTGACTTTTAATTTAAGTCTTTTTTTCTCTAGGAGTGCATAGTGGATGAGGAGGGCAGGTTTACAGAACTGGCTGGGCCTGAACTGCAGAAGAAATCTGTGATGACTGAAGGCAATGCCACAGGTGCGAGAGCTAGATTGATGGAGGAAAGAGAAAATGTTGTTACAAGCAAAATAGAACCAAATTTGACCATATGAAATTATAAAAGAATATGCATTCTTGTAATCATAACTAATGTTTTGTGTGTGTGGGCAGTAATCTCAATGCTGCAGGCAGTGGGTGCCATTGTGAAGGAGGAGGACTGTGTCCACAGCTACCCGTATGACTGGAGGACCAAACAGCCAGTCGTGATCAGAGCCAGTAAACAATGGTTTATTAACACAGCCAGCCTCAAAGACAAAGCTAAGGTGAGCCAATGGCCTCCTGAATAGAATAGCAACCTGTTAACAACATATACATGGGTCATATTTCACCCCCAAATTTTTATTTGTATATTTTGATTTTAAGCAAATAAAAACTGTTTTTAGGACACTTAAGATTTTTTTTGTTTGTTTTTTTACATTTACATTCTTTACATGAAAATTTAATTTTCTCATAATGCTGAAAAAATCTCATTGTCATTACTGTAATGTGAAAAATATATTTAAAATAGCAAAAATGTGTTGTATATTTATTGTACTGTGTGTGTGTGTATATATATATATATATATATACATACATTTTTATATCCTGCTTCAAGTAAATGAAGCCTGTTTTAGAAAAGATTTTATAC